CTACTGTTGTTTTAGCCATCTACCTCTATCACCCAAGAGACTTGAAAACCTATTTTTTTGTTTTCAATTGCTGTAGTAGAAAGGTCTACTGCCTTTCAAAAGAGGGATCTGTGTGTAATTCTGTGACTGTATTGAAGGAAATAGTGTCTAAGTACAAGGTTAGAAAAATCTCCTAGGTTATAAAGGGCTGTCTTTTACTCTTGGAGACATAATGTCATTTTACATTTACATCAAGACTCTGATTTTGTGTATTTCTATTAATAGCTGGGTCACCTTTACAGTAGTCACTGTGCTGGCTTCCCTTAAGAATATTAGGAGCTAATAGCAGTAAAACAAGTGTGTGCGCGTGCATGTGCGTATATGATTTAGTGTGGTAACAGTTTCAAAGTTCCTACACATGGTATTAAAATCAAGCTGAAAATACTCTCCCTAACTTCTTCATACAATGTATGAGAGCTTATATGGCATTTGCATAATTCCAGCACTGCTGATTGCTCATTGCTAGAATGGTTTATCTTGTGATCCCACACTCCAGCTGTGCACTTTGGCAAAATAGTGACACAGGCTTCTTAGTTACACACTTTGTTCACATGGAACTGCATCCAGTCATTCACAGGCATTCAGCTTGCAATTGGATTTCAGTTCTACTTGTGTTTTCATGGAAGATCAGTCCCCTAGGAAGCCATTCGCTGAGGGTAAGTTTGATCCTACAGTCATCTTATTCTTGATTGCAAGTCCTCATTGCTGCAGTTTCTGTGCAGTCAGCACTTACTTAAACTACATAGACTATGGAAGTGTTTTAGCATATACAGAAGGGAAAAGGACAGTGAAGTCAGGTGGGTGTGCCCAAAGAATATACATTACATTCATCAGTTGTTTCAGCAGCATCTTTTGTTTAGTGCCTCCAGTGTGTAACAGAAAAGCACATTCTTTTTAGTGTGCTGCCTGGAGGAAGCATGAATGAAATTGTAAAACACAAAATTGTTAGTCCAGTGGGTGCTAAGGGTACAGTACAAGTCTGCCACAGTTGGAAGCATTTACTTCTTTGTCCTGTTGATATGGATCCATTTTAAATTACTGTAAAAAATGGCTGCGATTAATAGCAGTGGTAGAGTTATTTCAGATATTGTGAAAACACACCTTCACAACTGTGGTGTTTTGGTTTTGTCTGTGTGTATGTGTGTATAGCTGCTGGAAGACACTAGTTTCGGTTCTGCTTTCACAGCAAATTTGTAACCAATACAGATTATAGAAAAAAAAAGAAGAACAAAACCAACTCAAACACAGCAACAGTGGCTGTCTGTTCAATTTTGTTGTCTAGCTAGGTAGGTTTGGAACACAATATCATTGTATTGATTGCAGAATTGAATAGTGATGTTAATTCAAATCTGCTTATTTTGAATAACATTTTTGTTTGCGTACACTAGTGCTCTTGGTATAGATTTTTGCTTGACCAAAGTATTCCTGTTTAGTTTTGTGGCATGGTTTGTATCTATTCAGCATAAAATTCTGTTAGGTGTAAAAATGACAAAGTACTGGTAATTCTTATTCATTGGGGTTCATGAGAGCTGTCGTTTTTATTTGTTTACATTAAACTAGTCTTAATTTATACAGATTACTTCACTTTTTCCTCTAGTACCTAGGGAAGTCACTTCCAAACAGCTAAAACTTTCACTGGTTATGTAGAAGTGGAATTATCAGTAAACTAGAGGGAAAAAATTTACACTCCCTGGTTTATGCAGGACAAAGACATTTTTCTCAGAAGCCCCAGTATTCTGCAAAATAGCCTTTGTTTACCATTAGTAGTGAACAAATTGTCCTGTTTACACATTGCAGTCTTTCTTTAGCCAGGACACTACTAATGCGTGTATTTAACAAATCCTCAATACTTAGACCTATAGTATCATCATAGAATCTATAGTATAATTTATGGAATAAATTTAGAAAGAGAAAACTTTTTCCCTTCTTTCTATACCATTTCTGTTTTAAACTTGCTAAAAGCTTTTTTAATAAGCATTTAAAACAATACCTGAAACCAGTAGGTATTTTGTTTTAAAATTTGTAAGTCCAACAGTTGTTACTGAACAAGTAGGATTTTCCTCAGTTTTTTTTTCCCTGTTGCCATCTAGGCTGCAGAAAGGTGAGTACATCATCATAGGACTAGCTGATTGGAGCATGGGTATCTTTTTAGTAAACTCATTGGCTTGATAATGGAGAGATGAGGATTATGCACCACAATTTCATTGTGGTTGAGATTGACTTGTGGCATCTGAACTCAAGATTTCTGCATTGAATTGTTCATATCAGGCATGCAGGGGAGAAAGTGGCACTTTCATCCTCATCTGGAGCTGGTACAGGATAGAATTCCTATACACACAAAACCTTCCAGCCTACCTTCTCTAAGAGCAGTGATTCCTCATGGTCTGTGTTCAAACCTTAAGCAGAAATTGTGGGTTTGTGAAAGTAATTAAGACTTCCATTATGTTTAGTCACTCAAGGTAACAATATGTTCCTATAGATAAGCCTAAATTCAGAACCCCCATGAAAATGGAAGTAATAACACATTTTTCTGGATGAAAATATCTGTTTTTCAGAAATAAGACCTGGAACAGCTAGAATCATGTGCATGGATACTGGAATTGAAGTAATGTGTTGACTTTTTCACTCATTTTAGGTCAAGCCCAAACAGAGATTATTACAGTTTACCCCCTACTTGTATTAATCTCAATAAGCTATCCTTGAAACTGAATGGAATTTTAGGGGATTGGGGGAGATAAATTTTACAGTTCATTTGTCATTTCTATGGATGTATAGAACATAGGAGGGGGAAAAGAGAGAGGCGGGTTTACTGTGACATGGTGGGAGATGGAATATTAGAGATCACAACACTGAAACGTGATTTACAGATAGCAAGTTTGAAAGGTAGTGTTATACCTGGATGACTGGTATACAGCCCAGAATGGCAGTCCTCTCACAGAACCCCAAGTTTTATGCATAACTTGTTTTTCTATTTGTTGGGGTGAAAAGGGGCAGTCCCCTTACAACTGAATTCACTCAAGGAAATTTGAAATTGTAGGTGTTCTTTCAGTCCATAGTTTTATTAAGTGCATACTTTTAAATACTGTCAGTGAGAAGGTTCTATCTGGTGACAAATGTTTATATTTCTTATGGCTGCCTTGTAAAGATTCAAAAATGTACAATAATGAATTTCTTAATATGAAATAAGGAGTAAGATTTCTACAACTGCTATAGATTTTGATGTGAGCTGGTTTTTAAAATCTTAAAACAGATTAGCCACTTAAATAAAACCTTCTTGCCTTTAAACAAACAGTGTCACTGATTTTTCTTACCAGTAATTTGAGAAATATTGGATCATGATTGTACGTGTCCGAGTAGCTGGTGGAAACATTATAAATAGAAGCTGGTTGATCTGTCTGAAATGATACTTAGATTGGAGGTCAACTTTTCAAAAATCTACAACTCTCCTTCCTTTTCAAAAGTCATAGAAAAAAGCATTTCGCTAATGAGACAACATGTTTGTGAAAGCTTTATAGAAGTAGTTTCAGGACATAAAAAGGACGACTTAGAGATACTATACTTATACTTCCATATAGAAAAGTTGTTTAAAAACCCACAAAACACACACAAACACTAGATCAAGAAATAACACAAGCTAAAATTCTCAGTTATCTGAAAGTCTAGAAGTCTTCAGGCTGGAAGGGTTGCTTTGATATTTCGAGGCCTCATTAACTGTTCAAATGTTTTAAAATGGGTTCATTTGAAAAGAAAAAAAGAAAAATTTGGAGCAAGTTTAAAAACCAATACTTATACATAAATCGTAACTGAATGCTTTTCATATTTATACCTGATACCATTAAAATTTTAGTAACACTGGAACTACTAGGTCACATGAACATTTTAAAAATTACCAAGTAGAGCAAAGTTTCCCAAATCAGTCTTTTGTTTGAAAGTTCATTTTAGAGTGAACATAATTGGAGATGCCTGCACAAAGCTTACCATGGAAAACAGCCCTGCTGTTGAATTCTAAAAACTTGACAAATCTTTGCTTTCATGTGAAAGACTAAACTTTGTTATACTGAATGACAGACCAAAAAAGGCTTGTCAAATTGAATATTAAGTTTATTAAAAGTAATTAGAAGCAAAATACAGGTATCAAATGCTAAGTATACATAATCAAAATACTTCCACTGTGATATTAACTAATCAGAGTAGTTACAACATGTTACATTAATTGTAGTAACAAATTTCTGTATATAACTAAAAGACAGATGCAGCACAAAAGCAATGTTAAACTCAACTGCCAAGATGCTATCTAAAGCATCAGTAAGAAATTACAAAGTTGATCTGATTTGTCTGGAGAAAAACTACCTAAGATAGGATTAGATGGCTAATCCTTAAGGCCATAAAGTAAGAGTCCTAAAATGGCTCTGTTCTTGTGGCATGAGTGACTCCACAGAATGCTGTTGCTTTGGAATGGCAGTTTTGCTTAGAACTCAAAGAAGCCACTACTGTTTTATTAACTTCCTGCTAATGTGATTAATAACTTTAGTTTGCTAGTAACACAAAAAACCCCAACAAGTTAGGCTTTCAAAATAATAGACCAATCTTTTTCACATGGAAAGTATTTGTGCTAAATCTCAAGGCTGCTGGATACCAATTTAAGCACTACTCTTACCTAGGATTACCCCTCATAAGTCTGTCAGAAGCCCTTGCTTTGGCCATTCTTACTGGCCAGTTCAGCATCATTTTCTAAGTACTTACTGCCTCACGAAATACGGTTTCACTACAGTTCCCTCATCTCAGCAGGGATAATACACTGTGGTTGGTACTATTTTGCTTCTCTCTTTACTTGAAAAGAGAAAGCAAGGAAAGTCCTGAGCTGTTTCATAAAAAAAAAGTGTAATGGCTCAATTAAGTGTATAGAGTGCAGCCTTTCAGGTGCTATTCAGACCTCTCCCTTATATGTGCTCATAAACTTGGAAACATGAAAAAAGAGTTACAGCCATGTCTGTCTAGGTACCCAGTGTTTGATGGAGTTTCTTTGCTTGCCTTCTGATAGCTTGAGATGGTTTCAGGGATCGATGTACAGACTGTGAGTTTCGTGCCATTAGATAGTAGTAGTTCGATATTGCTTGTTGCCTGCAGAAGAACAACAGGACTACCATTAGCAGCATGAAGTCAGTAGAGTTAATCAACTGGTTATCTCACATATTGCTGGAAAACAGACAAGAGAAAGGAAGAGGTCTGGTACACTTTCACTGTGTAACTGTTCTAAACACTAGCAAGAAAGTATTTTGTTATCTTCAGTGAACATAAATGGCAAGTACACAAATGAAGTACTGTGATATTTTAACTAGCAACAGGAGTATTTCTTGTGATATAATCTAATTCATTAAAATGCAAAACATTAGAACAGTACTTTGAATTGGAAACAATCATTTGAGATCAAGACTTGCTTCATCATTAGAAAAATGAAAACGAAGCACTAACATTAAAATTCATGGCATTTGGATACCAGAAGAGAAAGTCTCATGCAAGGCTAAAGGCACCTCCAAAAAAAGTTCATTTCACAATTATTCCAGTAGGCAACTAGGCAGTAACAGAGCACAGTGTATACATCTACACATGCAGGAGTACTGTACTGCAGAAGCACTTCAAATGACTGTTGGAACTTGCAGTCCAGCATTTGAAACTGCTCTCATTTTTCTTGAAAAGTTCAATGAAGTGTCTTGCACCTGTCTTTGTTGCTAAAATGGGACATAGTATTCAGGATGTACCTTTCCCTCTAACAAAAAGAACAATTCCAACATAATGGGTGAAAATATTCATGTCACATCCACTTGGGTACAATTGCTTTGTTTAAAAATGCCACCAATACAATTATGAGCTGCTGTTAATTGTGATAGCATAGACTAAACTGCTATGAAAATTTGAGGGATGGAAAAGAAAGGCTGTAAAATCAGACAGCTCAGGATAACGGTTGGTTCTCTCATGCTTTGTGATCATTAGTAACCAGTCAGAACTGATCCTGAGTGACAAAAAGATTAGTACTAGTCATTTTTGATCTGGAGTGAGAAAAGCTGATGTTTGCATAGGAGGTTCATTGTGAACCCATGAGGACTCACTAATCCATAATTTAGAGGTGAAGTTTTACAACTGCACAATGATCTGCTGTAGCAGAGATGGCCACAGTGAATATGAAGGAAGAACCCTGTGGTTCTACATAATACTGCCTTAAAGAAGCATGAGATAATAAGCCTTTCTCTCTATAAACAGCAGGTTTTCTCCCCACAGATGCATGCAGGCATAGCCAAGGTGAACAACTACTTTACCTGGTTGCTACTATCTTCAGTTACGAATGAGAGAAACTGTCACATCACTAGCAGATGGGAGAATATTAGGAGTGAGATTTAGTGAACTTTCAGTGGGTATGATAAAATTAACTTGATACAAATTTTAATCTATAGTTATCTAGACATGGTCCCATTGATACAAATTTTTGCAATTTTCTGGGATGTTAAACCCTTACCTCTTTGTAGGTAAAGTATTTGATGCTAAACTCTCTTTAGAGAATTTGAGGTGCTTGACATTTAGTTATTGAATACTTTACATGGTCTAAGAGAGGAAGAAGTTTAGGGAATCACCCTATGACAAGATTTCTGACCTTTAATTTTTATTTTCTTAATATGTCTAATTCCGACTGACATATCCTTCACAAATATAGCAGCCTACCACCTTGTGGATTAACAAAGGTGTTTTATAAGAGGCTTCTTCATTTGGGTACCATGGACTGTTTGTTAACATAATGCTACCTAATAAAAGCATTTTTTTAATGGATGTGCAGACATCAGTGACTGTGCCAGTACACTGGAATTTTCCCACCTCCTCCTCCAGTCTGGATTGGCACCTCTTTTAGACAAGAGTCAGGGAGGGATTGTTCTCACACAAGGTCAAAGGTAGGCTCCTTCTGATAAAAATCTAACTTCCACAACAAGGAAACGGAAGACAAATAGAGCATTTGGCAGGTTTTAGAAGCTGCAACTCCAACTGCAGATTTAAACTTCCCAGGTATCTTTAAGAAAAAACAGATGTACTACATTACACTTGAAAAAGTTCTGCAACTATTCCTAATCATGAGTTACAGGGACTACTTGGCCTGCAATTGGCTATGTTCTGGTGGCAGGTAAAGTTGAGGGACACTTAGCAGTATTTACCTCTCCTCTTTCACAATGGCATCATCAAATGCTTGGGAGATATGCTTCAACTGGCAAATCCCTGAGGAGACCAGTTCCAGCTCACAGTCAAACTCTCTGCAAACAGAATGGTCATTGCTACAGATCAAACAGGACAGGCTGACTAGGTGACAGTACTCAAGCCTTCATCCCTGAAGTACCATTCTTGTTACCACTAGACTTTACCCAGAGAAGTTTAGGGCTGTGGAAATTATACTCTTTATTCCATTGGCCAACTGCTTCACGTCTCCATTCGTCCCCCGAACAGCTATCTTCCAACTGAGACATAGGATTCAGGTTCACAAGGCTTGGATTCAACTTCTAGCTTTAACCTTTCTTGTGACTTCAACCAAAAAAAAAACCTGTGTGCACATTATTATTTCCCTAGCTCCCAACCCTTGATCTGATTTGTGTTTGTTCTTTGAGGCGGGAATCTCTCTACGTTATATAAAGAACTCAGCATAAGCAGAGGTATTCCTGGTATCTTTGGAATACAAACAGCAGCTTTGGAAAAGTTACAATTAAATCAGAGTAAGATACTGAGCATTTTCCTTTACCCAAAAGGCACCAGCAAAAAACTCAGGTATGTCTCTAAGAAAAAATTACTTTTTATGTTTCAGCTTTATGCATAGCTCAGTCCCAGTCCAGGGAGCTGGAACTACTTTCTTAACTATTCAAGCAGCACACAGCTTCAGGGGAATAGGACAGAAAACCTCATACCTTGCCTTTCACTTTATCAGATACTCTAATCAGTGTAATAAATTAAAAAAAATATTAAAAAAAGTTTACAAACGAATGTGACTTACATCTTTCTGCTGGAAGGAGCAGGAGATGAATAAGGGCTCTTCAGTGCTGCTGCTCTTCTGGATCTTCGGAGAGAGAGAGCATTTTTACCAAGCCAGGATGAGAAATCCTTCCATTCTCTATGGTCTGACACCTTTGTTGGCCCAAGCAAGGCCCTTTTGCTGGACTTTGGAGTGCCTTTGGAACTGGCTGCTGGAGTAACACTCATATAGCAAGGTGTTTGAGGTGTAGCAGTTCTTTTTTTGGTAGAACTGGTTGCACAGCTTCTGCTGATGGATTCAGCTGGAAAGGTCACCATTGAGCGTACTGGGCTTTGGCAAGACTTTTGTATTTTCTGAAAGAAGCATTAGACATGTTAGGCTAAATGAACTGAATTAGCCATGAGTTTGGAACCAGGAAGGCTAGGAATATTTGGGCTGAATTACTAGCTTCCATGCTCGTATCAGGTTTCAACTAACATGAATGCATCTCAGCTTCTGTACTCATTTGAATAGGGAGTCTCTTGCTTCCCTAGCCCTTGGCACTCATCAAGGACTTCAGAGCAGGCATTGGACAAAGCTCTTGCTTCTCTTATGCTGGAAAAATTCAGGCTCCACAACACAGAACACATGCATTTAAAAATCTGAGGTCTGCAAGAAAGGGAAGTGCAAGCTTGAATCTGCTACTCTGCTACCTTGTGGCAGGTTTTGTCAGTCTAAATTTAGATTAACTACAATGAAGAACATGCAAGTAAATAGTATGGGTACAGGAGAATAAATAAAAGAAAAAAAATCCAAAGTGCTGCACATTTCTCAGTAACCATTCTTTGCAAATTACGGCAATTTCTACCCAATTTCCTCTGTATAAAGGCTGTTCTGCAATTAAATACAAGAGGGAAAAAGCTCTTATAACAAAATAAACTATTTTCACCTTCCTCCATGTTCTGCCAGAACCATAATTTGCCTGTCTATACTTTAGGAAAAGATATTAAAGATTTTAAAAGTTAGTAGCTATGAGACAAACACTAAGGTGTGCAAGTGTGTGGGAATGGACTCTCTGGAATAGAGCACTCAGTACAGAATTCAGAAATCTTAGTACTGGAGTTGAAGCAAAAACTAAACTCTATCTATGTTCTACTGCAAAGACAAAGTACCTGGGACACTGTTCCAAAAGCATATTTTGCTGTTCTTTTAATAGTCTGAAGAGTTTGGCACCTCTGCCTTCGTTCCAGACTTTCCCTAGTTGGGGTTTCATGAAAATTCAACTCGACTGGCTTTAACGGTACCCGTTTCCTTAAAGACATGCGAATGGTATTGAGAGAACTCAGAGAGACCCTTCTCTTGAATTTGTCAGGCACAGGGCTCTCATCCTCATTGAGGTCAGCTAGGAGCCGGTGTTTTCTCCTCGCCACTGTTGCTTTGACATTTTGGAGCACAGATGCCATCTTGTTCCAGCTCTTGGTCAACTTTATTTCTAAAACAATGAAAATGAGAGCAAAGCTTAGGCAGAACAAGGTACAAAGCAGTGTAAAAAAAGAGAAATGAAACTGTTACACAATATGTTCGGTTACACTTGCCTGAAACAAGAAAACTAGAGCTGAGCAGACTTTTAGTTGGAGAACAGGGTTGATTTTTGAAAGACAACAGGTTGAAAGAGGTTGAAAGAGAACAGGGTTGATTTTTAAGGCTATTTAGGTTTGCTCAAGTCCACCAAGAAGCCTTGTATTGCACTTCCACTCGAAAACTCTAGTTTGAGAGATAGAATGCTCTATGAGTGCATCTTTTTGGTTTATGTCTCAGATCAAGATCTGATATCCCAAATTTTTGCCCTCTTTAATCAAAACAACCTTCCACAGAGAGACAGGTCTACACAGCTGCTATTGTCTCCTGCCCTACTTGCTAGCTGAAGGCTTCTGCTTCAGTCCCAGTTATGATTATGGGTACTTAAATCGTGAAACAGACAGGATTATTACTGGCAGAAGACTTTGGTGAGAAGGGCTAAAATGCTAGTTATCTATACGACATATGATAATTTAAACATATATACTTTCCATCCTTGATTTTCACTAGTTAACAAATACGATTGAAATGAGAGAGAGAGCCGCTGCTGTCCTACGGTTACAATGATCTGTTTATTAAACGGGTATTGCACAGGACAGCGCAGTGCCTTCTTTCTTCTGCAGGCCACGGCGCTCTGGGGTAGCCCCCGGCCGGGCCCCTGGACACACCCGGGCCCACGCCTCGTCCGAGCCCCTCTCGCCGCAGGAACTCTGCTCTGCTGGCACTGGCCGTGCTCCCCGCCGACAGCCGCGGCAGATCCGCCGCGCCGCCACATCGGGCTAACGGGACTGGGCGGGACCAGCCGGTGCCGGTTTTGCGCCTACTGGGACAGTAGCAACAAGCGCGAAAAGTGCCGCCAAGGCCGGAGGAGACGGGCTCGGGCAAAGGGAGCCGCGAATGGGCCGCGAATGGGCCGCTCTGGCAGCTGCTCGGGGCAGTACTCACTCAGCGCGCCGCACGGGACCGGGACCCGGATCGGGACGGAGCCGCCAGCTCCCCGCAGCAGCTCCTCTGTGCGCCGCCGCCGCGTTTGAACGCCGCGCCGCCCCCTCCGAGCCCCCGGATTGGCGCCGCCGCCGCCCGCCGCAATTGGCTGGGCTCCGCGCGGGGCTGCCGTTACTCGGCCTGGCGCGCGCGGCGCAGCCGGCGGTGAGGGAGCGGCCCGCGCCGGCTGAGGAGAATGTCCGGGCCCAGCGGCACAACCGCAGGGGCTGCGCTGCGCCCCCGCCCGCCCGCGGCTCTGGCGCCTTGGCGGACCTCGGCCCAGAGATCCGCGTCAGCAGGACTAGTAAAAGGACTCAGGCTGGGTTGCCCACTTGGGTATCCAAGCCACAGCTCCTGTTGCTTCTGGTAATTATCGGTCAAAGTCTTAGAAAGTCTTTCTTTGTTTGCTTTTACTCCACGGGCTTCTGCAGCTCTTGCTGGAGGAGACAGCTAGTGTAACTGTCCGTATGGGATCGTAAACCATCCGGGATGCCCTCTGAAGCAAAGAGGGCCAAGGGAAAAGGATGTATGTGTTCAGCGGTGGGGGATTTTATTTTTATTTGTTTTTTTTTTCTTACCCGAGTGGCAAACAAGACATGCAAAGCATTAATTTATCTTGAAATTACTTCTGCTTGGAAAAAAATTGCTCTAGAAAGAACTGTAGCAGCGTTTTTTCCCAAAGATATGTTTTCCCCGCACCAAGTTAAACTCGGAGCTGACAGCTAGAACACCTCCTTAACTAAGACTTCGCTTATAGTGATGGAAAAGCCAACCCAACACTGCAGGATACCTCTTGAATCACACCACTGGCTCATAAACGAACATAGTTTTTACAGATTCATAAGAACTCTGGTTTTAAAAAAGTTCCACATGATGGTGTTTGTGCCGCTTTGTATTCACACGCTAATATTGATGAGTGCAGTGTAATAAACATCCTTTATTAACAGATGTGTTTCTATGTACTACTGCCCTATATTCTGTTCTGCTTTCCTCTGTCCATTGCCTTCAGGGCTTCCAGTTAGCTGAAGTGTTAGACCTCTTCCCCTGTGTTCTCCTCACTCTCTATAGCAAAAGTTTCAGGTTCTTCTCACTAGCAAACTGGAGCTTCAGCCACCATATTTTAAGACTTGGTTTGGATTTTTGGAAATTGATCTAGAGACCTCCTAAATGACTAACAGTTCTGCAAAACAACTCCTTGGAGGTGCTAAATACAAGAGAGACAGAGTGTCAGGTAGTAATCAGACCACATGATCAGTTTCTAAGGGTTTTATTGATAACTGGGGATATGGGTTGGTACTTTGAATGGCAAGAGTGGACAGAGGAATCCCTAAGAATAGAAACAGTGCTAATTGAAAAGAGTATGTGTACAGGCAGAGAGATTCTATGTGACATAAGAACTGTAGGCAAAAAGACCAACAGCAGACTGAAGCTTAATTTTGCTATCAACCTGTCCTTTCATGCCTGTTTATACAATTGAAATAGAAATAGCTTTTGTAATTGTAAACAGACTCTCAGGGATCTGCATGTTTTCTTCTTCGTATGGTGCACTTCTTGTTTCCATCCATTTCAACTTTTTTTTATCCAGCCTTAATCTAAGGCAGGGTACTGATTGTCATGGAATGGTACCCTAGAAGACTATGAAAAGTCATTAGTGCTAATTTTGCACTGATGGTCCTGTTCAAATGTATACAGCCCAAAGAACTGAGTACTTTCAAACGCTAGGCATCAGATCACAGACTATGATCAATTAATTGCAGCTGATGCCAACCAAAGGTTTTGCAGACAATGTGGCTACTGTCGCAGCATTTGATACCATTTCACTGTTTAGCTAGACTGAAGGTGAAGGCCCAGAAATTAAAATATGTGTCCTGTGCTTGTACTGTGATTGTTCTTCACTCTTTTTTTCTTTTGATTTAGGTAAGACTGTACTTTAGACTCAAGGGCTTGTTTGACAGCTGGAGTACAGAGGTTGTTGGTTTTGATTGTGAAGAAACAAACTGTCATCCATTTGTTTAGAAGCCTATTATGTTGGGATTGGCAAGAAATCTACCCACAGCTTTCTGCATGTTGGTTTGATTTAAGACCCAGAAGAGAAGTCCTCTCAATGGAAGATGACAGTGAACCCGAGCAAAGCTCCTGGGCCTATCTACCTGATGTCTGTCTGAGGCATGTCTTCCATTGGTTAGATGACAGAGACAGATCTCGGGCTGCCTTGGTCTGTAAAAAATGGAGTTGTGCCATGCACTCTGGATCTCTCTGGAGATGCAGAACCATCACCTTTTATGGCCAACCATCAAGGGCACGCACACTGGAGTTTCAAAGTGCACTGTGGTATACCAAGAAATTTGGCAAGTATTTGAAGCACCTTGAGATCAAGTTATCGAATCCTTACAATACTCCCTTTATCAAAAAATTTCAAGTGATTATGAGAGGTCTTCTTTCACACCTGGGTAAGTGTAACAGTCACCTAGTATCCCTGAGCATCAAGTACCTAGAATTGGACTGCTTGATCTGGAGAAATGTGGTTAGGGCTCAGTTTATCAAGAATTTAGCTGCCTTCCTGAAAAGAATGAGCAATCAACTTGATTATCTTAACTTAAAAGGAGCAAGAATAACTTTGGAAGAAGGCTGTGAGCTTCTGAATTCTCTAAGCAGTTTGACAAACAGAAGCTTTATATCTGAAATCAATATTGAGGATTTCTTCAGTCTTCACCTTTCTGTCTACAGCAGTGCCTTGTTCCACCAAACTATGTCTAAGTTCCACAGGCTGACCATCCTGACTTTCAATTACAACTGCATGTCTGATGAACTGCTGGACATCCTGCGAGAGCGCAGCTCTCATTCTCTGTGCACCTTGAATATCAAGTGTCATATCCATGACCCTCATGGGCAAGTGGTCTCAGGAATGTCATGGGCAAACTTGGCCAAGAGAGCCCCAAAACTGAATGTGAACTTCTTCTTTGAAAGAGTCATGAAGCATGATCACCTAGCTAGGATCCTGCTAGAGGAGATCCCAGTTAGGAGCATCAGCCTACGGAGCTGTTATTTTAGTGACCCAGACTGGACTATGAGACCTACTCTCACCAACCTTCTCCCAGCTTACTGGCATGGTCTGCAGGTAAGGGAAACAAGAGACACCCCACTGCAGTGTCACAAAGCTCTACAAAGCAAGCATGTAGGCCTTCGGCATAACAGCAGTCAGCAACAGAAGTTCCTGACCACTTTAGTTTTACATTCAGAGGGCAGTTTTCCTAAGAAATTTCAGTGTTTCATCCATAATGTTGTTAATGAAATTATCCTTGTCCAGTTATAACCCTCCATAATGCTATCAGGCTGCTCTATTTTGGCAATACACAAATGTCCTATAGCATATCTAAATTAACTAGTGCCCATGTCAAAGCACTTTGGTGTCACAAGGGATGTGTCATCAAAAGTTTGCAACAGCTGACCCACATAAGTGAGCATGAGGTCTTTACATGCCAGAGGGAAACAAGTGGCCTTACACCTGATGGCTGCTGACAGCTTTCTGTAAGTCCTGTTTCCATTGCTGAGTTATGAATAAACACCATAGATATGTAAAGCTTTCTAGAAACCACCATTGGCTCCACTCTTGTCTCTGGGATAATTTTCATTATGTCAGGTAAGATCATGGTAAGACTGTAGGTGCAGTGTTTTCTAATAAATGCACAAGGGATCACCCCCTCTTAGCAGGACAGTGATTTACTGTAGCACATACCCTGTTGCCATAATGCAAAACAGATTGTCAGCTAATATCAAGGTATAAAATTGATCTGCTGACTTTTTTTTTTGTTAACTTGGAAAACTATTTGTTGAATTCTAGTTACTGCATGCAACATCTGTTTAGTAGTACTAACAGTGTTCGTTTTTTTCCAAGAAATTAACACTTGAATTAAACAATGACCATGAGTTGCTGGACAATGAGCTGCTACAGCTTATTTTATCATGCAAGAGGTTGTTATTTCTGAAAGTCTGGGCATTTCTAAGTGTCAGCTTTATGGAGAGGCTGCTACAAAACCGTGCAGAAAGGAAATGCATTTTGACTACCATAAAGGTAAGACTTTGTGCTTCAAAACTCTCATTCCCATTCTTGCTCCTATACCCAAAGGTTCCCATGCCCAGGCAAAGATCACTTACAGAAATGTTAATCTTACTGTCTTCCCTATGTTATGCCTTAGTACCAAAGAGCTTGGGAGCCCCTCACAGAAAGGAGGCTTTCCAACCCTACTTAGCCACATACAGATACTATAGAAGTTTATTATGAAGTCCTGAAAATTCCAGAAGCCCTTCCTAGACTGGCACTCCCTCTGTCATCTCTAGTTCAAGCCCTCTCCCACTTCCAGGGTTTCTCAGTTACCTCTCAGGCTCGGTGCTTATGTCTATAACCAAGGAAGGTGGACTGAATCCCACTAAACTGCAAAGATACAAACACATCACACCCTTTAGGGGTCCTGTATTGAACTGAGGCCAAGCCACAACTGTAGCTGGTGTAAACCATGCTGACATGCTACTTTCTGTGCTACAATCTGAATTCTGTAGGTCCTTACAAATCTGTGCAGATCCCAGGGATGCATCAGTTCTGGGGGTAAAAAGAACCTTGTTCTTCCTGTCTGAGTCAGCACAGGCAGACAGCAGGGACAACCACAAAACCACAGCTAAAAGATAAAGAGTAAATTTACTTCCCTTCTTTTGCTTACCGAGGCATCCCCAAAGCAACCCCCAGGCAGACACATACAAGTGGAGATAGAGGCACAGTTAAACTTGCTCCGTTCCAGAGGGTCACTGGCTGGCATTCATACTGGGTTATCAAGGGCTATTCCCATCTGCAAGGTCACCTGAGTGATTTACAATCTTTCTTGCTAGTCTTCCACTATTTAACCCGTTCCTCCCAACACCTCCCAAAAATTCTTTGGCAGGAGATGATGTTTTCAGTCAGCTGGGAGTGGGAAGAGAGTAAAGCATCAAGATTCTATTCCAATTCAAGGAATTTTGCTTCTCTAGATTCCTTATTAGTCACAGATGCTTCTTGTTGCCATGAGCTGTAATGGGTTTAGCTCCCTATATCTGAGAGACATGACTGCTGTTTGTGCATACAGGTCAGGATTTATACAGCCCAAGATGACAGCACTGAGGAGGAGCGGCTGCTGGCTGATATTTACAGGAAATTCAAGTACTTGATTGACTCAGAACTTAATTATTTTGTCATCACCTACCCAATGGTATAAACTACAGGAAGAGAACACCCAGTGACATCTGCATTAATGGATCCTTTGGAGTGCTTTAGTAAGGGATTTGAATTTTGACAGCAGTGCTTCCAAAAGGGAGTTATCATTCCAGCAAGTGAGAAGCAAGGGTCAATTTTAAACTCCATGCATTAAAATGTTGGATTTGGGAACTGGACTCTTTTGTCTCCAGCATTATTTATTCTTTCCCTTGCTTTGGTTTTCCTTGCCAGAACCAAAGGAAGCAGTGATCCCTTTTCCACCCTTACAGGCATCTCTGATAAAAATAAGACCCTCCTCTTTTTTCAGCACTTCTCATTGCAGAGCTTCAAACATTTACCACTGAAGCCCACCTCAATGTTTCCATTTTACGAACGGGGGAACTGAGACATGGGGTGAACAAGTGATTTTCCCAAAGTCAGCCTTGACTTGATCTCGATTCAGATGCAGACAGATGCACTATCTAGTGTATCAGTTAGGTAAGTTAGGTCCTGTTAAGTAGGCCATACTGTCTAGTTCTTAGCAGCAGATGCTAAGATAAAAACAAAACATCACATGGCCAGTCCTGAGAGACATCCCTCCCACTTGCTCAGCTGTCCAATAAGTGATTTATGAGGACACTCCTGCTCTGGCTTCCACACAGTTGCCTTCTGACACCTTTCAATGGCACAAGATATCGTTAGTTACACATGAGAGAAACATGGAAGAAGGGGCATTTCTCATTATTCTGAATTTTATTGCCAAGTGGAAGATTTCATCAAACATTTTAGAGCATAGATAGTTCTGAAACAGATAGCTGTAAGTACTAGGTCTGTTTTAATTACCTTGTGCAACTAGACAGCATTACATTTGGAAGCCAATACATTTGGAAGCCTGCAAATAAAATTTCAGCAGGAGCTGGTTCTTTGGAGCACAGTCTCCCAGTATAATGACTTTAGTAATTGTTTATGCAAACAGACTCTCTCATTTGCATGCACAGCACTTCATCAATGTACAGTGTGTTCTCCTTGACCTTGATCTCTTCCTCCAAGGAAAGCTGTCGGCGGCTCAGGCCTTTCAGCTCTGTCTGAGCCTGTGCCAATGCCTCCTTTAATCTAACAGGGAAAATAGAGACAGGCATTAGTTGAAAACACATGGGTAGTGGGTTTTTTTCTCATAAGGGTTAGGATTTCTGAGCAAGAAAAAGAAAGATGGAAAGGGATTCACAGAGAATATCCATTGTCTTCCCCTAAAGTCTATCCACTAACTTCCCTTAAAGTGTCCTGCCCTTAAAAGAAAAGCAATTCCCAACTTTTCAGGGAGAATAGTTGGGACCCATTGTCATGCTAACACATTAAATTAACCAATACCACAGATTTTCCTCCTGCGTAATTTCCACTTGCCTTTGAATATTTTTGGTAATCTCTTGAACTTCACTCATCAGGCTGCTGTGCACTGTGTCATAGCACAGTTCCACATTGGGGCGATGGTTCCTTGCTTCCAAGCGGGTTTGAGCCACTTTCACAGGTGCTTCCTGATCAGTGATTGCTTTCTTTAAGGCTGCAATGTTCTTCTCCTGTGAGGCAGTCTCATCCATCACCTTAACAAATCCAACAATGAAATTCTGCACACTGCCTCTTACAACGTGTGAAACCATCATCATCTACTTTAATAGTTGCAACAATCACAGTACCACTCAATATGTTGTTATTTCATCAAATAATATTTTTCAAAGCTTAGCCAGGAGTATGATTCCTTCATTGGAAAGCAGATGACACAGTTCTGGGTAAACCCAGAAATTTATGCTCAGCAATTAATATTTTTTAATGTTAATACTCAGTTTTCATGTGTCAAATTTTGAGCACATTGACCCTGCTGTTATCAATTATCAGGCTCTTACATCACAATCCTGAAAAAGCTATAGGAGCCTCATGCAACTAAAAATCACAAGGAAAATCCTGTCTTTACTGATGGCTACAGCAACATTTAGATTGTATGAATGACTCCAGAAATTCGTCTCTTTGGTGGTGCACACAGAGCTAAGAAAAGAAATCTAAAGTTACTTTTATGGAGAAGGGAACAAAAAGGAAAATGTGGCAGATAAGTGCAACCCACTGGATTGGGTAAACTGGTAGATAACCCAAGCCTTGTGTTTCCACTTTTTCACTGACTGTCCCCTATGACTTACCATTGCAAGAAGTGTCTCTAGCTTGTGCTTGGCATCCTTGACTTCCTTCACCCTATTTCTAAAAGCATTATTCACCATCTCACATTGTTTGCGCATGTCATTTGCTATCTGTGAGAGGATGCCATCGATAAGTGCCTTCAGTGCCAAAGAATTGTTTCGCTGCTTGTCAGCCTTTTCAACATTTATGTTTGTGAAATCTATCCAGTCCTCAGGTGTAACAAAACTGGAAGGGAATCAAAATAAGAGGTCACCAACAGACAGCAGCAGGCCCTCCATGACTTCATAAATCTGTAATTGTGCCACAAAATCAAGAACAAAGCAGCACTTTTAACTGCATGTCACAGCAAGTGCCATATGTCCAGGGAGTGCTACAGATACAAAGGAAAGACTCTATCACAATCATTTTGTAATGAAGTAGATGAGAGTCCAATGAAAACAAATTTGCTAGAGACATAGAGGAGCCTTGCTGTTACTTTCCCCTGGCAAAGGGGAACTTACAAGTTAACATGGCGGGAAACACATATAATAATCAGTATTTCTTAGAACATCTTTCATTAATAAAGCTGTTACTATTAATAGCAGGCAACTATTTACACAACACATTCACTTATTCTCTCACAGAGTTCGCCTCTACGACACTTACAGTATCTGCCTGGAACAACAGTTGAGAAGCCCAGCCTCAAGCTTGCAGGCGGGTGTTTGAGAAGCTCTTCAGAGGGTTCGTTCCTTGTCTCATTGAGTGAATATATAAAGTTTTAATTGTCATTTGCACACAGCAGGCAACACCATCCTGGGTGTGCTCTGAGTTACATAACCTGTTTTGAGTGCTGGCAGCCTCTTGGTGTTGCAAGTTTGCTAGCTGTTACATAGCAACAGGGATTTTATGAGGCTCTTGCACAAATTGTTTTCTCAGTACACCTCCTCTTTTCAGCCCATTTTTCTGTGGTAGCTATTTTTGCATTTAGACCTTTCATACTAACTAACCCATGCAGAATGGGCACATTTGACAGCTTAATGTCTGAGTCAGAAACTGACTTGACATCTCATGGGTCTCAGTCCAGCATTCTCCCCAGTAGGACACCCTGGGAGAGGAAAGAAGTTAAGACCAAAAAATCTATTCTGTGTTTAAGCAATATGCGAAATTCTTCCTTAGCTAACTGTGAGCTTCAGAAACTTTTTAAAAAACTGCAGTTCACTGGGAGCATAATTATTGTGGTTTCCCAGACATATTACACAGATACAGAAGTGATGGACAGAAGTATAAGAAACAATTACATGGCAAAAAGATAAAGCCTGTTTTACACAAAACTAATCTTGCTGTTACTGGGACAGCCCATATTATCTGTATAATTATCATATGTTTGTTGAACTAAAGAACCACTTACTTTCCTTCTAGTTTCATTGCATTATCAGCATATATAATATGAGGAGTGTCATTTGTCAAGCTAGCACAGTAATCATCAATTGTCAAAGCTGTGAATTTGTCCTTCAGATCCATGTCCAGGTCGTATTTTGCTGAACGGTTCCGTCTAGGAGAAAAAACAACCAAAACTCTAAGACCATGTGTAGGCATTCACAGGTATCCTTAATATGTATGCATACATGCATTAGATAATTCAAATGCTGTTACAGAAATCGTCGTGTAAGAACTCTTAGTTGTCAAGTCACAAAATCTACAGTATGAAGCTGCCTTTTTATAAATTGACGGTACAATTCTCACTGAAATTAAAGGCACAGGACTGGATCATGAGAAGACCAAGGATCAAGCACAAGTACTTTGTATTCTACAAGCAGAACCTCTCACCACTACTGATTGAGTGGTATGAATTAGGACTGACCTCCTGCTTGTGTTTAGCATTGAAGATAACTTAGGACCTGTGTTCAGCCTGACAACTTCTCAGTATTATGGCTGTCTTAACTTTCATCTAATTAGTGTTCTGTTATGCTCTCTGCCTCTGCACCTGATTTGCTCATTTGCTTGTTCCAATGTATGTCCAAGTAAAGCAATAATCCTCTGGAGGACTTCAACTTCCTTCAGCAGCTGCAGTTCCACTTCATCATGCACCAAGTCAATCCCAACTCGCCTCTGCCTACATGAAAAAAGGAAAAAACTATCAGCCACATTGTTCAAATGCCTGCATCAAATAGAGATGATAAAGTTCCACTCTCCTCAGTGCTGTAACACCTAAGTCAGACTGTGACTTCACTGTAAAGAGAGGTGGGCCTTTAGTTTGCAGTCTTTTTTCTTATTTGTTAAAGCTTCATTACCTAGACTTTTTCTGTCTCCTTGAATGCTCACCTGTACAGGAGACACTTCTGGGCAACGACAAGGGGCTCTTTGCAACCCTCCAAAGCTCTCTCCAGCCTATTCTTGAAAGTCAACAAAATCTCTGTCTCATGAACAATTTGTTCTAGCTTGTTATCTAATTCTTGCTTCCAGAATTTTATCTCTTCCCGTCTCTGTTCTATAGAATCAAAATAACAAACACATATTAATATGGGCCCATTCTGTGAGCAAGGGGATTGCAGCTCAGGTCTTTGGTATGGTTAAAAATAGACCTATTCTATAGTGGAGTGCCTGTAGTGCTGTGGGCTGTGTGGAAACAGTTTAGCAACCCTGTGTCAGGAGGTTTTGTTAAGAAAGCTTTTTGTGTGTTTTGTTATAAAAATAATGAGTCTGCCTCAAAATATTTTATAAAATATTTTTGATTTTTTCATGACATTAACAAGCATGGCATTGACATATACTCCTATTCATTATCAACTAATTTGCTAAGTCCTTCTTGAAAATATAGCTCAAATAAAACATTTTGACCCTTGCAGAAGACATGGGATTACCTAATTTCTTGTTGACATCACTCTGGGTTTTTTGAGTTGTCTTTTCTATTTCATCCACCAGCCTCCAACTCTCAGCTGTCATGCATTCTGACCTGGATTTCTGGGACTCTGTACTGGCACGCTGCATCTGGTTTGCAGTGTACCATTCTGACGGATGAAGTTTAGATGGATCTTGTAACAGCCTGGCCATTGCTATTTTGAAAGTTTCTGGATATAATGCAGGTCAGTTTTTGGAATATCAAACCTGAAAACAGAAATAGCATTATATTTGGCTGCCAAAGCAAGAAGGGGAGAAGACAGGTCTATACGGATGAGAAATATTTTGTTCTTTTTACCTGCAAAATCACACTGATATGAAAAAAGATTTTTTGCTCAAAGTTCCCAAGTCTTTGCTGATGAGTAGGGAAGAATGTGCTGATATGTTTGGAGTGGGAGAATGAAGAAACAGAAGAATTTGTGAGGGGAATTTACGAGGAGAGAAGTGGATCTGAAAGGAAAAGATGGACTATGCAATAGGAAGGAGAAGAGAAAGGAGACCTGTGGAGAAAGATGGAATTACTAAACAAGCAATCACAGAAAACAAAAGAAAAAGTGAATAAATATAAAAGATAAATAGCCTCACAGAGGTTGGAGAAGCAAACACCTTTCAATAATATGACTGGAGAAATGGATAAAATCTAGACTGTAAAAAGAAATGTAACCACAGAATTATTAGCGTTGGAAAAGACCTCTGAGATCATTGAGTCCAACTGTTAATGCAGCACAGCTGTGTTCAGTACTAAACCATATTCTCAAGTTTTAAATTCACATGCCTTTTGAACACATCCAGGGATGAGAATTCCACCACTTCCCAGGGCGGGCTGTTCCAATGCCTGATTAGGTGACTTTTTTTCTAATGATGATTAGGGGGGGAAAAAAAAAAACTAAACAAAAAATAAACCCAAAACACCCCCCCAAAAAAAAAAAACCCAAACAAAAAAAACCCAAAAGAAAACATAACCTCAACAACAACAAAAAAACTACAACCACAAAACCGACAAAACAAAACACCAAACCCCAAAACCCCAAATCAAAATCGGACCCGAAAAGCTGAAGGAAAAAATTCAGCAGGCAAATGAGGAAATGGGAAAGTCCAGAAAGGATTAAAGAAGAAGAACAAAGCATACTGAGGACACTTGTTTAGTGGAGGGTGAAACCAATGCCCCGAATTTGCACAAAGTAGTTTGAGTATAAATTTTCCTATTGCAGTACGCTCACCCAGTGTTCCTGAGACAGTTCCTGAGCCCAAATGCACACAACTGCGCAGCAACACACAGCTCTGCCCACACTCCATTCAGCACAGCCACCCTGAACTCGACTGCCTTCGCCCTCACACATCTCCCGACTGACCTCGATCCTCCGCTCAACTGCTCCGAAGTTCAAAGCCTGGCAAAGTGCCACGTCCTCAGTTCCCCTTCCCTAGGAAGGGTCTTTCAGCCTCAGAAACCCCTCAAGAGTCTCTCAGCCTCCTCAGCAGTAGCACAGGTTCTTTTAAATGTGCGACTCAATGCTGCAGGAGGCAGCTGGAACTGCACGCAAGGCAAACAAACTGGTTGCTGTGGGAACTACCGCAGCTACCTCTGCTAGCAGCTTGGTGCTGTGGCACCGGTGGAGGAGGCACAGCACACACACAAGTCCGTGGTGCTTCATTTCACCCACTTCCTGTTAAGATTTCTCAGGAAAAAGCCCAGGTGTTCGCTGTACATTATTTTTTTTCATAGTTCCCAGAGCTCTGGACAGTAATTCTCAATTGATTTGTTGTAGAAATGCATAAAGATTGTGAAACAAATGAGAGGCGTATTAAGTATCCAGCTATCTAAAATGTCAGTCATAAAATATCCTTAGTAGTATGCTCTATCTTTACATCAACAATATTCTTTCCTGGGAGAAAATATTCTGGGAGCCACACACAAGAGATGAAGGAGATAAGGAGCTTGACATTAGACGGTACAATTGTGTCCCCTCCGTATAGCTCTGCTACAGTTCAGATAGATCAGAGTTTCTCAGAGTGAAATCCGACGAAGTTCCAAAAGATCACAAAATTATAAAGAAGTAACATTACTCAAAAAAAAAAAAAAAAAAAAAAAAAAAAAAAAAAAAGCACAGCAGAGATAATGTCATGTTTCTGAAAACGTGCTCAGTCACCCTGAAAGGTGAGGAAACTCGCAGTGGTGGTTTTCCACGAAGTTATTGCGGGACCGGTGGGACTTCATGCTGTTTTGTTCTGAAAACCCAGTATCGCATGCTGTCCTGCCCCAGATTGTAGCGACACTGCCACAAATTAAAGCTACAAACCACAAATTCATTCATCAATGTCAGCTACCGTAAAAGACAATGGCCTTTCAAACTGTTAATATGAAATTTACAACCGATCCTGCAATATAAACTTTTAAGACAAAAAAAAAAAAAAAAGCTTTAGTTTTACCTCAGATGGTTTTCTCTACCGACTCACAGGGCTAGAAAACGGCTCCACGGCCGCCGGGGCTGCGCGCACCGGACGGGACGGTCCCAGCGCGCGCCCCCCGGGCGAGCGCCGCCCGCCGAGCCCCCCGCGCTAACGAACAGTCCGGGGAGAGCGGCGGAGGCACCGCCCGCCGAGCCCCGCGCTAACGAACAGCCCGGAGAGAGCGGCGGAGGCACCGCCCGCGCTAACGAACAGCCCGGGGAGAGCGGCGGAGGCACCGCCCGCGCTAACGAACAGCCCCGGGAGAGCGGCGGAGGCATTGCCCGCGCTAACGAACAGCCCGGGGAGAGCGGCGGAGGCACCGCCCGCGCTAACGAACAGCCCCGGGAGAGCGGCGGAGGCACTGCCCGCCGCGCCGACACCCGCGCCGCCTTTCCACACCGCATGTAAGCGCCCAGTTACGGCCGGATGAAAAAGGAAGTCCTGCACAGCAGTAGGGGTAAGCTAACACCAGCTTGCTTACCACGTTCCATTGCGATGCCTTTGAAAAGGATTTTACAAAGGAGCGGTTCCTCACATTGTAAATTTTGTCTGGATGTAGAAAATAGGGTCACTATTTGTGAAATGGCCAAGTCCTCAGTCAGGAAACGTCTCACATTTTCTGTGGAGGAGGCTAACCAGCCAGCATTAATGAGACTAGATCTAAATTAAGTATGTTGCCATATTCCTTGTTGGGTGCCTGAAAAATAACATAAATAGTCTTATTCGTCATAGAATCAATCAGCAGAACTGCTGCCCCTGTGTTGAAGTAGGAGAGTTCTCTAGGTTGAGCTCACACTGCAGCATCATCAACTACTTTCTTTCAGTGTTGCTGAAATCCTAAAGCAGACTAACGTAATAGGTCTGAACAGTGGTGTTCCACTAGAGTCCAAAATAATCCATGAAGAAAGGCTGAGAGGGCTAGGACTGTTCAGCCTCCAGAAGGCTCATCAGACAGCTTCCAGCAGCCTTTCAGAATAGTCTTAAAAAGTAGATGATGTCTCTGCTGACATTATCTTGAAAATATTGCACAGGACAAACTGATTTAGCCTTTAAAAGTAGGATCAGGTTGATAATAACCATAGATATACTTTTAGATGTTATACAGAAACATTAGAAAAGTTAAGAAATGGTCCATTTGAGTAAAATATGTACTACACCAACTTAATAGATTGTTCTTTTATCATTCATGTTAAACACACTGTCATATACACAAACACACATGCTCTGCATTTAAAAAAAATAAAAATACTGAAAAATCAATTGGGGTCATACATTATATACTTTAATTTCAGTTTAATCATACAATCAAATAGTTGAGGTTATTCATATAGAGCAGACCTCGTAATGCACAAAGCTGTAAGTTTTTCTAGAAGTATGTCATAGCACTATCTCCCTAAACCCTTACACACAAATCATCAATAGATCAACTCAGCTTACAGTCTTCAACTATCCTGCAAACAGGTGGCTGGTAAGTCCCAGATATCTTTACAATCACCTCTCTGAAGTGGGAAGACTTTAGAAAACCTGTACAAATACCTTGTGGATAGCTGCAAAAACAAGCTAAATTACAGAAAGTATGTAGATTCACACTGGTGAATTAGCAATAATTTTACAGTCCAAAAGTTCCTTTATATAATTATATGCTATTAGGCCTAAATTGGCCAAGCACTTACCTGCATCTTCAGCACTCACATCACACAGTAAAATCATCTCTGACCTCGGACTGTGAAGGAATGCGATGTATTAAGCCAGTATTGCCCCTCTTGTGGTAATTATGATGGACTCACTAAAAAGTATTCTACTGTAAGAATGTAAATAGGTGTGTTGTATGTGCCAGTTTTGGACAGATTTCTCCACATGCTTAACCAAAACTCCTCCAAAACATAACTACAATGTGTTTATCCTTACAGTGCATTTGGTAGAGCTACAGGCACACACTTACTCCTCAGAATTATAATCATTCAAGACAAAGTAAAGAACTGAAGGCAATGGCATTTATATGCCAACAAAGCAGTTGCTTCATTCATGGTTTTTAAGTAAACTAGACTAGAAAGGGAGACTGAAGTAAAATTGTATTTCAAATGCAGTTGAACTTATGTACTTTTTTAACTGAAATTCAGAGCACACAGAATCATGACTGGAACAAAAATCTTTTAAGTAAAAGGTCTGTGTTTTCACTGATTTTACTTGGCTGTCACATCATTCTAAAAAGATGCAATAAATCTGAAGAATGCTTGACATATTTTATTATAAATGTTCATCAATACGGAACCAATTAATTTTTCTAAATATCTACACATCAATGTATAACCAAATTAATCCTTCTAAATATCTACAAAAAGCACAAGGGCAGGTTAAAAAATATTCTCTAGCATGAGCAGACAATTTGTGGCTTTCAGTTTTTTTTCTTTCTATGAGCCTGTTCTTAGGGAAGAAATAATTTTAGAAGGCATTTTTTAGTCCAGTAAATCTGGAATAAACTAACTGTAGTGTGGTTTTGATAGTAATTTAACTGAAAACTGAAACTAGTGCAAGGCTTTTGAAACTATTTCAAAACTCCCACAATCTTTCCATATATATTTTTGTGTATTGTTCATTTGCCTCAGAATCAGCATCTGTACTGAAAAGAGTTCACTCTTGTCCACACTGAAGAGCTGCTTTCCCCCTGAGTCCAGGTAAAAGGACATTACAGGCTTGTTTCTGTTACAACTGTTCAAAGAATTTTGTACCTTGCTAGCTCCTACCTTTCCTGCAATCCTAAACCATGCAAGCACACGATCTCAGACAAAGAGGAGTCCCAGCTGTTGCTAGTAGTCTGATAAAGAAATCAATCCAGGACTGCCAGTAGAGGCATTAGCAACCCTCTCAGCAAATACTATTATATTTGACCATTACAGACAAATGCCACTATGTAACATAGCAATCTGTCACCACATTCATCAGACAAGAGGCTATGCCCTCTTTATGATTTAAGAGAACAAAACAATGCCTGTTTGATCTCTCTGTGTGTATGCTAGAGTAGAGGGGTAGGGTTGGAGGAGAGGCATGATTGCTCTAATGGTTGAGTACTCTAGGTCATTATTTGCTAAACAGAATTTTCCTTGTCCATCTGCCATTTCTTTTATGCTATGTTTAACAGAGAAGTGAAACTGAAGGTGCTGTCTTCTGGAGTTTTACCTTCATTTTAAGATGGAACACCTTCATAGCAGAATCACTGCATAAAATTGTCCCTAACCTTAAAGACAGGAGAAGTACATTTGCTTCCTGTGATCTTTAAACATAAAAATCCTAAAAATCCAATCTACTACTAGCACCGAAATCACAATATGTGCTTTTGCCAATGTCTTTTTGTCTTTGTCAAACCTATTGACACGGTGATGTGATCAACACTTCAGGGCAGTGCTCAGCAATACTTCAGCCAGCCAGCTACACAGCTGAATGTAAGCAAAGGGACAGTACAAAGCAAGAAATAATACTGTGTTCCATTTGCAGAATGTCAGTCTTCCTGTTAGTATGCTGTACTTGACCCTTCTGGCTGGAGAGGTGTTGATGGTTTTATTCAAAACATCGTAGATGACTGTACAGAGACTGGACATAGGTGAAGACGCACATGGGATCTGGCTTGTGACCCATCACCATCATGTCTTCCACTTCTATCAGACGGTCACAGTGAGCCATTTTCCTGTATTAACAATAAAACAGATACAACAAATCAAGAGTTACATAACTGCTTCCAGGATTCATTTGATGCTCTGAGCATGATTGAAACATTTAAGAAATCCTGAGGTTTATTGGCAGCATTTCATTTCACAATGAATTGAGCAGGGTTGGGCTGGACATTGTTATTTTTCTGACAACAGAATATTCCTGTTCTTTCTGTCTCTTGCTTTATAGTGGGATCTGATCTAAAGCCCTGGAGGGGTGGTGCTTTTTTCACTATGATTCACATTCCTTATATCTGTAGCATGTAACCCAATCTCACACTACTGTGCCCATGTCTCAGTTCTTGGTTAATATATAGGGAGTTCTAAAAGAATGGAAAAACTCAGGAGGAGATGAGATGTGCTGATGAAGGCCTATGTGGCTGTGAATTGTTTGTTCTCCACCACACCCATTTCATCAAGATGTGAGTGATCTGGACCAGCAGAAAGGAACAGATCTGCAGAGGCTTAAGATGAAAAATCAAAAGGGCAGGGATCAATTTTATCAGCATAGCTAGTACTGGGGTGAACAGCAATAGCTGAGAAAATAGCCTTTACTGACACTCAAATCAGTTTAAAGGCAATCATAGCTACGAATAGTTTATGTAATTTTCTCTCACGTAATGTTTCTTAGTGTTGTGTTTATGGTGTCTTTTGTTCTCCCCTGAACTTACTGTTTATATAAACTGAGGTAGAAGAACACTGCAGCTTTCCTTTGAGAGTTGTAGATAGTTTTTTGGAGATCACCTAAATGTATCACAGAATCTCCTTCAACTCACTGACAAGCAACAAAATTTTTTTATATATACATATATGTGTACTTAAAAAAATACTTGTATTTCCCAAATTAATTCCTTTGCTAGAGGCTGTAATAAGGAGAAACAACATTATGTCGAGAAATGGGCAATGGCAAATCCAGTTCTTTAAGTTACCTCATTAGCCATGTGTTCGTATCGCCTGTTACCATTTGGAAAAAGTGTACCAAACCCAGCTGCATACCACATGGAGAGGTCTTACCCTAAGAATCCCATTGATATCAGCTCAAAAATGTTACTATTTCTGACTGGCAGGTTCACATTCATAATGACTTTAACAAATTAGTTAGCATTTAACTACCTGCTATACAGCATAAAAAAAAAATCTGGATAATGTGACTGAGGGTATTAGCTCTGCCTGTTTTCAGAAATGCAGTTACTTGGTTGAGATACTGAGAAGCTCTCAGTCTTGATCTGTACTTACACTGAATTCAACCTTTGTTCTTTTTCAAGCAAAACAAGGTACAGTTAGAGATGAAGTCTCACACGTTCTATGCATTGTCTCTGCAGAGCAATCTGGGAGGATGGGGCTTCATAATCTGAAGGTGTAATTGGACAATTAACCCCCAATATGTAAATGGACCAAAACTTACAAAAGTGTGAAAACGTGTGATCCGTCATCCATCCCGGATGTGGCCTTGGCCACGCTCTTGTACTGTCCAAGGTGTATCCTTTGAAGGCCTTTTTATATTAAATACCTACTTTATTCCTTTAACACTGTCTAGCCTCTGTTCTAGGTAGCCTCCCAAGGCATCAACAGAGAGTCAAAAAGAATAATAACGAAAATCTTCACTGCTGCTCAGGTGCATTAGACTTGAACTGGAAGCACTTCCCAGAGCGCTAATGTACTCACTCAGCCGTTGTGAAGGCCAGCTCAAAGTTCTGCTTGCGGTTAGCTGGGTCAAGCTTATTATAATCAAAAGCTTCAGGAAAGAAAGAATGCACAAGAGCGCAGAACGCCATCCCATCATTCCAGCTTGAGGAGAAGTTCTGCAGATCAATGTGCTGTCATGATGAAAAAAATACACATGTTAATGCAGCACAGGGGAACAAATAAGAGCAGCTGCTTTTGTTCAATGCAGTTTTCTATCATTCTTTCCCACCAGCAAGAGCACAGGCTTTATTTTCTTCTTCCCATCTTTGTATGTCCAGTTCATTGTTGACATTCTGGGAAAAAAATGGCACTAAAAAAGCAATAAAAGCTCTTTGCCTGAAATAGCCAGATGCAAAGCAGACGCATAGTCAAGGTCCCTGATCTGATTCAAAGCCCACTGAAAATACTGTGAAGAATCTCATCAACATCAGTGAGCACTGGAGAAGGCCAGATGCACCTGCTCAGTATCTGCGGAAATCAAGGACACTGCTTATATATAACCATAATCACCCTACGGAGGATTTAAAATTGAAGAACAGTTCATTTTGTGAATAACCCTAGATAAAGACTATGCTTGCTGGCTTTGCCCAATTCAGTATCTGTTTACACATAGATAGGTAGAAGCATAAGAACAATCATGCACAACCTGATTCTCAAAACAGATTCTTATTGTTACTTTCAAATGCCACAGTGAAAAGAAACATATTTGTTTCGTGCTGCTTTCTCATCATATAAAATTCAAGTCCCAGCTTTTCTGATAATTTTAATTAGTTTTATACTATAATCTACAGTTTAGCAATAATTATGCGCATTTAGTAATGTTGAAAAACATACTAAACATATGCAAAAAATCCCTAGGAAAAAAATTCTGTATTTCTTTGACAGTTGCAGTTTAAGGCCAGGTAAAACGAGTAAAATCTCAACTGCTGTATTCCTGTAGTGACACTGATGCTACCTCATAAAAATTTACTCAAAGTATGATTGCAACTCAACCATTTATTACAAATTTATTTGTCGAATACTAAGAGAGTACTTGGGTGTGCATGTAGCAAAATGGCCATAGTCTCCATGTATTCAGAAATTGTTATGTATACTGTGAATAAAAAATTACAGCCTGCAACTAAGAAAAAAAAGTCTGAGTGTATACTGAAATTTTTATCCATAAGCACAAAAAGGTTGGCTTTTAGAAAAACAATAATGCATTGCTTTAATATACATACAGAATCTCATTCATGCAGTCACTGACAGTCTTGAATTGCTGCCTACACAAACCATATTCATGTTACCCACACAAAAATTGATGACTTTGAGGAAATTAACTAATTCTCTAGCATATTTTACATTCACCCTTTGAGCACGGAATTCGGCAAATTCTCTTGAAACAAAAAAGAGAGAGATGAAAATACTACCATATCTTTACCTTGTATCCTATGGTTTTTGAGCGACACCAGTCTAACAGAATTTGTTTAATGCTGCTAGCGCTGGCAACCCCAAAACTCAGCGACCTCTTCAGCTTAGCTCTGGATTCTCCTTTTCCTCTGGAAAATTAACAGAGACCAGATTAAATTATATTCTAGAAAAACTTAAACCTATTTGTCAGGAACATCTATACAGCTTTGCTCAGGTCAGCCCTTGTCCAGATGATATTTGAGAAACATGTTGCTGAAACCTCGACTTGTTGGTCCTGCAAGAATAACTTAGTTTTATTAAACAAAAGCCAGAATTCCAATTCCAATCCCTCTTTTCTTTAAATCATACTCCCATCAAGAAGTGTATATATTTTGATCCTTAATGAATGGCAACAGAAAGTCACTATATTTGCAGGCTCCTGTAATGATGGAGAAGGCAGCTTTCACAGAACTCTTCCCTGATAAAGGGAACCTGCTGCTTCAGCTGAACAACTCCAAAGTCAGAAGATTCTGTAGCTGTGAATTTCCAAGGCTTGGTCTGTGGAGTCAGTGAAACTTTAGGGGCCTCATATTGTCGCTAAGCTCCAAATCCTACACGGAGAGAGTTCTCCCACCCAGCTGTACTCTGCTGGTAATAACCGACAAATTAGTTTTCCATTAACAAACCATTCTGGAGACAAGGACTGAGACGTACTTTGCATCATCGCGTTCAAGTTTTTCAAAAAGCGCTTTCCTGGCCTGCGTTCCTGAAGTCCGCGGGAGCGTCTGAGACCGCACCAATTCTCGCCTCCTTTCAACCGGGCGATGCACAGTAGGAGGAGGTGAGTGAGAGCTGGGGGTCACCTCACAGCAACTGTCAATGGCACTGGAGAAACATAACGTGAAAAGTAAGTAGTAAATGAAAGAGTAACTCTCTGCAGTGACAAGAGCAAGCATAAATGTTCAACTGTTGTCTCTAAACCGTCCAAAAGATCCATTTCAAGAGGACCTGCATGAAAAGGACCTGCATCAAAAGCAATGTTAATAAAAGTAAAATTATTATTAAGACACAACAGCACATAAGTATTGAGGCACCTGAGGTACTGTTACAAATAAGACACAGCTGGGCAAGCCACAAGCACTTTGCAGCATTGAGCAGAACAACAATTACAAACCTTCAAGAAAAAAAAGAAGACAAAAAAGTTGTGGCCACACACGAGCACTAAATCCCATCAATTTCCAACTTCAGGATTCTTGGAGGCTATGACATTTTTAAAATGAAACTTGAAGAATAAATCATGAAGTACTTTTGAAATTTTTACTTGTAGCACACAGAATTCTGACCTTCTGACAGTGTTGCTTTACTGACTGCAAGCTGTATATGTGATTGAGAAAGATATTCTAATTTGTGTTTGTTTGAGCCATATACTGCTTCATTGGCATTAATGAAGCAAGCCAAACATTGCATTTGGAATTACTCCATATCGCAGAGATGGGGAAACAGGCAAAGAACAATGACATCAGTGTCACACGTTTATTTCTGTTACAGATGGAGGTCGGGTATGACACCAAGGTTTCTAGGGTGCTCACTGTATCATGACTCCAATACTGAAGTGCTGATGTTGGAACTACCTGGGAGGAAATGTAATACCTAATTTGGGATTGTTTTCAAGACAGATACAAGCCTAATTTAAGAGATTTAAACATTCTTCTCTCCAGTTCTTTTCTTGATGGATATTTTGCATGCTAAGCATGTCTGTATATGCCAGGAATAATTGTGATAACATGTAATCCTCTACTAAGCAACTGCAACTTGAGTTAATAAAGAGTGTGTAGTAGTCCTCAGGAAGGCATTTATCTACAAATTAAAGTCTAGGCTAGCCAAACTAAGGATATTTGCTGGTAATTATATGTTGGTTTCCAAAAATAAACCCAAAGTACTAATTTCAACACAGATTAGTATATTTAAAACTGTTTTCAAAGGATCTGACAACTTCCTCCTCCTAACAAAAATCCACCACTATCAAGCACTGATAATCTTACTGAATAAGACTAAAACAATGTGTAAATCCACAGTTAGGTCTACTTGAAAGTGCTCTGTAAAATTTTGTCCCTTCTCATCTCTGTTCCACTTAGCCCAGAGGAAAGCTCACAGCCTTTAACACACTTAAAATATAGCACCAGTGTCTCATTTGTTCTTTGGTGCACTGGTGGGACAGCCTGAAGAAGCACCCCCCACCAAAAAAGGAGCCAAACGTGCTAAGGCTATCCAAAGCTGTAATCACAGGCATGATGTTCATGCACAGCCTACCAGATGCCTCGTGGAAAGAAAGGTGTGAGGATTAACCAGGATATGGCCCTGATATAGGAATCAGAGGCACAAAAGAGCAAGTCATGCAGGGAGAATGAGTGATCCTCAAACTAGACATATAGCATGATGTATACAGCAAGTTGCTGATTTCCTGTGAGAAGTACAATCAATAAATAACCTGGTATGTTTCACCTGAGAACATTCAGGGTATGTATATAAGCACTGCTGTGTTGAATGAAAACTACTATGTACAGTACATCACTAGGATGGTTTTAGTACAGATAGTGTGATTATTCCAGTAGTCATTGACATCGATTGGTTATTTGCTGAAAGTAGAAGTGTGGTTAAGAGGAATATGCCCATTTACATGTTGATGGGCATAGCACATACATTACATACATTAATGTAATTTAATGTATGTACATACATACATTAAATGAACTACCTATGTTAATGTAAGAGATTACGGGGCAAGTAGATTAATGTACAATTATACATCCAATGCTTAAAACAGCATCTGGGACTCACCTGTTTTCCAAGTCAGCAGAGCACCTGTCCCTTGAGACTACATTGACCACAATGGCCTAACAAAATGTCATGAAAAATGCATACCTTTCACCAGTTTTGGCTCCACTACGCAGCCCGTAGTTCACAGTTGACACAGGCTTGGTGACAGAAGTAGCATTCTCTATGTAAAAAAAGAAAAGATGCATTAGTGCAGAAATTTTCCTCATGTGCTTTCAAATAGAAACTTTCCTCGTGTGCTTTCCTGGCGGATAGACACGCATTGATTTTTTACTCACCACACTGTAAAGCTGCAGGCCTCTGACTTCCATTTGAGCTAACAGGCTGGGGAAGGATTTTCCCCAGCAGTTCAATTCCTCTGTAAAACTGCAGCGAGGATAGTATAGGCATACCAGGAAGGACTCCAAGAGGATGCCTTTGATAAAACTGCATTTGGAAGGTCAGATCACTTCGGGCCCTCAGAGCAGGGCACACTGCCACTGACATGTCAGTTAAAGGAAAAAGTGGTGCTTGCAAAAGTCATTCTAGCAGACAAGCCCTGGGGAGTTTAATGTAATTGAGTATGCTGATGAGTACATAATTTAAATGATCTCATTTCTACCAGGAAGACATTTTAGTTTGTAAAGTAGAACAGACTCAAAGTTGCAAATGTGGCTTAAAATCAACTTTGCCTCTTCCTCCCTCCACCTCCGAGGTTCTACCTTATGTGCTTTGCCTCTTAGGGCTCAGCTTTGGACTCCAGCTATGCTCTATAATTGCAAAACAGTGGAGTGTCTTGCCCAGTTTTAACATACCAAAGCCAAAACTTGTTGCATAAACCAGCAACTGATTTCTTGAAAGCTCCTTCTATACATGAAGGACTGCCATCTTAGAAGCAGTCCAACCTGATCACTGTCCTACTCTCTGAAAATGCAGAATTCTTCCCTCTTCTTATAGAAGTGATCCAGATCAACTACACTTCTCATGTAAAACACACTGGTAGATGCCAGCATACAGGTGTGACAAATTTGTGACCACTTACAGTTGCCATATACTTATGCCAATCTCAGATGTTTTCAGATGAGGAGGAAGGTAATCCTTATTCCAGAAGAGCTACATATATTGCTAAGTAGACCGACACTTGAGACCACTGTGAAATGTCAGTACATTATGCAGACGGTAACAACTTGGTGACAGCAATCACAGGTACTTTTGGAGAGAGATCAACTCATCTATTTCAACTGAAATCAGAAAGCTCAAAGTAATTTGCTTCAGCATACGAGGGTGGGCACGCCACTTTCCAACTGCCTTGTGTGCAGTCACAGTTTTCACTTGATCAGCTGAAATCTTCGCTGCTCAAGCTGCCTGCCTCACTTTTCTGGCACCTATGGTTTCCACTGCAGAGATTGCCTAACAGTACACACATACATCACTGTGCAAGTAAGGGTAAGTACCCCTCACTTTGAACTGATGGAGTAGAACAAGTGTTTGTGATTCTGTGAGTCTGTATACATATACTTGTTAGCAATGTTAGTATTACCATGTACCTACAAGTCAAAAGTACATGCTCAGATCCCCCAAAGAGCCCAGAATCACTCTCAATTTTTGTTGCATAAGGGCATGCATATAGGAATACTCACCAGTAGCAGATGAATCCATTGTTCTCACTGTAATTGAATTCCAGTCCTTCACTGTATCAGCACAAAGACAAAGGAAGTGTTTGCTACATTTTTAGTTTTAGTAAGATAAAAACTGAAAGAATCGTCTGCAAATAACCCCTATCTCTTGCTAGCAATCCCATCCCAGTCTCCTTCTGTAATTTCTGACTCGTATATATAGTCCAATTTGTAAGTGTCACAGCCAAGGATGAACGACTTCCATGTGATTTTTTTTTTAAACTCAGTTTCAATATAACTAAGATTCTGCAATCACGGACATATGTATATGTGTCAGACTGCTGTCAGTCATTCCTTCTTCCAAATGACTATTAGAACCTGCTGGCCAAATATCTGCCTAACTTCACACAGGATCTCCAGTCCTAAAGCATTAAAAATGTCCACAAATTTCATGAAAACAGCTGGGCATGTTTAAGAGATTCAGTAACTTACTGAATTCAGTAACTGTGCTGTAAGATACACTTCACTAAAAACTCAACTACGTTAGGCACAAGAATTCTCTGCAGATGTGACATTACAGCTGAAAGCTCCAGCTAGGACCCACAGTTCCAAAATGGAATGTCCCACAATGGGATATATAGCCATAGAAGCAAGGTTTCATAATGGCCACTAGGTCACAGGACAAAACTCATAGCGCCAGTTGAAGAAAGGAAACGGGATGCAGCTTCAGCAAGTTATTTTTCTCTTTTACCTGGCTGGTTGGAAGATTTTACTCCCATTTTATTTGCGCACTTGCCCTGTCCCAGCAGGCAAGAAGATGTAGTAGTTGTTCCTGCTGAACAGATGCTCTCTCCTGAAAACTTCTCAGATATCCTGGTTACTGCAGTAACGGGAAGGTGGGGCATCTGTAAGGTGACTGCAGGGGCATGGGCTTCGGGGGACGAAGATTCTGACATCTGAAAACAGGTCAGTTCATGGGTGACTTTTGCCTGACCTGAATAAAAAATGGGAGAGAGGAAGTAAATTTGTTTGCAGTTTGTAACAAAGCTACAAACGAATGTTCATGCAACAACTTTATTTTACAGGTCGTTGGACTTACTCCTCTTTGAAACATTATACCATCTACATAGCAGAAACAACCCTAGCCCAAGTGACCCTTGCAGCGATCACACTTACTCTATGTGAATCTCAGCAGGAGCAATATCTTCAGATCATTAATACATTAGCATTTGCATTTGGTAAACTTCTCTTCCTCTGCGCAGCTCTCACTCACAATCTCCTGCCCCAGTTAGGGAAGCAGCATTTTTATTCATGGTTTTATGAAACACTGTATATGACTCTTTCCTTCCTCCACTGAAGGATGACAGAAGCAGATGGGTGACTTGCAACATGTTTTGGGACACAAGACTACAATGGCACCCACCACAGAAGGTCTTACCGCTCGTGTCTCAAGTTAATGCAGGTGTAATAGCCTCCAATTTATGAAACACCGTAGTACATGCTTAACAGTAAAGCCAAAGTTTAGAAATTAAACTCCTAATTATGAAATAAAGTACAGGTGCCACTGGAAAATATCCATAGAAACTATAGAAGATTCTAACCCTTCAAAAATGTGAGTCCTGCTCTATGACTGCCAAGATCAGGTATTTTACAAGCAGTGCTGCTTCATTTCACGCCCTGTTCCTACCTGATGATGAAGATCGATGCCCATTTTCAATGATGGAAGAACTAAAAACTCTTCTGAACTCAGGTTTCTGGTGGTCATCCAGGTCTACACTCTGTCAGAAAAGAAAACAGACACGACAGCTAAATTTCAAACAGCAGCAAAAGTGAGAAGAATATCCAGAAACACCTGCCAAGAACAGGTCTTCCTCATGCAAGAGACCACAAAATAAGAAAGGAACAATTACCTAACCCCAGGAGCTGAGCCTGTGAATGAAGCATTGGCAATGCATAAGTTAAATCAATCTTCACGTGTGTCCTTAAAGGATCCTAGGAGGTGTTATCTTTTGTTAGATAAAGGTATCAGCACCCACTGCAACGGTGATAAACAGAAGACTTGATGTAACAGTGGAGAAATTGATTGAGATTGCATAGAATAATGCTGTTCATTTTTTTTATTTGCTGCAGAAAGAAAATACAGTATAAAAACATATTGTACAGGCATTACAAAGTAAATTCAATCCTAGGACACTACAGCTATTTTATGATCTGCAGCGTTTGTAAGGATAGCTTTTTTTCTGGCAAAAGCATAAACTGTCCTCGTAATGGCTGTCAATATAATTCCAGAAAAATCAGCCAGGAGTTTTTTTGTGGGTTTAGTAGGAGGTTGTGGTGGTTTTTGAGGGGTTTGATTGCGTTTTTTGTCTGGTGGGGATGGGGTTTTTTGGGGGGGTGAAGGGGCATGTGAAATCGTGAGGAACTATGTGATTTTTGGCTGCATAACTAAAGGAAGAAGAAACTGCTTCACAGATACATGATTACGGCAGTTAAGTTTCCAAGAAGAAGCAGCAGCTACAAGTAGTAGAGAGAAATTCCCCAACACACAGTCCACAAAAATGTTCATTGATTGCGTAGTTATACCCAGATGTTTTAATTTCTGGGAGAAACCCACTATTTTGAAACTTTTGAAAAAGGTACTGTGCATGAATAAACTCGGTCATCACTAGCTGCCAGGACTGAGAAAATTACAAATTAAGCAAATACTAATTATAGAAACCACGCAGAATCAGAGGTTCAGAACCTTTATTGCTGCATTTAGTGCAACTGAGATCCCAGTCAACAGTTACTGCCCAAATCCAGAACTGAAATGTGAAGCACAGCTAATGCAACTCCCTATAATGTACCCATGATACACAGTTAGAACTGTTTAGCCATTCATGTCACATTATGACCTGAATGTGAAGAATGCCTGTGTAGGCTGTAAACATGAATCTACTTTTATAAGCTGGGGAGGTGTGGGTGAGTAAAATCATCAAATGACATGATTGTTGCAAAGGTCACGTAGCATTTTACACACTGAACTGGCCTTCTAATGCAATGTCAAGTGCTGCGTTGCCTTATTTCATGCAAACCTGACTGCTACAGTTTGGCTAACAGTGCCAAAGAAGAAACTGATACCAGGCTGGAGGATGGGGAAGAAGGCCCATGTGCTGACAGAACAGTGGGAGGATCTGAGATCAAATTCTGATGTGCATTTGGTAGTGTCAGACTGAAGTACTTTCAGAATTCACCGTGGAGATGCCAAGCTTCTGACAAACTCGTGTTTAGCAATACTACTTCTGTCAGTGCTGGTTATATAGATTATAAATAGCAGAGGGATAACTACACATATCTGATCTTAATAATAAGAAGTACACATTTGTACAACTCATGTGACAACAACACAATGAAGAACTGATGAAGAAAAGAAAGTTAACACTAATATTTTGGATGCCTTATCCAAAACTGGTTTGTAGAACTAATCTCTGTGTAGGTCAGAGGTTTCCATGTAAGGAGGGTGATACTTTCCATAGTTATAGGGCTGCTGGAATTTCTCCTTTGCTGCAAAGAAGTTACACTTTGGAGATCCTTAACTGGAAGCTGCAATTATCGCAAGCCAGTAGTAAAAATTCAATGCATTCAGAAAAAATAAGCACCAGTTCACAAGATTAGGAAAAAAAAAAGAAACACAATTGTTATTTCCTCGCTGAACCTCTAAGGTGTATGTCTGTTATGTCTCTTCAAGATTTTGTCTGCAACAAGGTCAAATTCTAGAAGAATGACAGACACCTATGATATTGCTCTCACTCAAATGACAGATTTCAGTCATTCAGTGTCATTCATAAAACCACCAACTACCACAAGGGTCACAATACAAATCATTGGTTCTAGAAATGCTGTTTATGTAGGAGAAGTACATCCCATTCTTAAATATGATAGGTGAAATTGTTGCTTCACTTTGATGAACAGTAATATTGCCACTGACTGCCACAGAGGCAAAGTTCCACACTCCGTTCCTCGCATATATAGAGATCACTGAGATATCAGATACTGGGAACAATGAAATTTTGAGGAAATGGAAACAAGCCAGCTAGACACCAGCAAGAAGTGTACCATGTTTACCCCTTAATTCTACTACAAGAAAGCCATTGTCCACAAGACAATACAAGTATTCTCTATCTGTAAGTGACCCTGCTACGTGAAAAAAAAGCCTTTAACACCATGAACATATTAGAAAAGCTATTGCACTGAAGAAAAACAATAGGAGTACTGGATATAAATGGATAGGAGGGAACAATTCTCTCTTAGCAGCTTCAGCAGGTGCCTATGGCTATGCCACAGTGAGTTAAAACAAACAACAAAAATAATCTAGATAAGGATCAAGGCAACCATGAAATGTCACCATTCCAAAAGGACACTTCTGGAAGTATAAGAGAATAATGAAGAAGTTAAACCAACCGACTTCCTTTATCAAACAGAGGAGTTAAGATCGTTTGGAAACAGAGTATGTAATGCTCTAGTAATCATGTCATCTCCCTGTCATTATAGAACCATAGAATGGTTTGAATTTGAAGGGATCATAAAGATCATCTTGTTTCAACACCTTGACATGCACATGGATTCCATGCATTAGATGAGGTTGCTCAGGAGCCCTTCCAACCTGCCCCCAAAGACCGATAGGGGTGAGGCATCCACAACTTTCCCGGGCAACCTGTGCTTCACCACCCTTCGAGTGAACGGTTTCTTCCTAACATCTAATCTAAACCCGCCCACTTTCAGTGGTTTAAAACCATTGCCCCTTGTTCTGTTGCTATCTGCCCGCACAAAAACAAGTGCCTCACCCTCTTTTTGTAAGCCCTCTAAAGTATTTGAAGGCCGCAGTGAGGTTTCCCTGAAGTCTTCTCGTCTCCGGACTGAATAACCCCAGCTCTCTCAGCCCACCTTTGCTGGAAATACTTAGGTCATTATATAGACCCCAAGTCATGTCTTATGCAGTTACTCACAGGCTGCCTAAGTGCCAGGTGCCATCAGGTCATCAGGGAGAGATCCCAATGGGTAGTAATACTTGTTTAGACCTTCATAGGTGGTCATAGCCAGCTATCTATCTCTCTGTGGCTTTGACCACTGCCGGCAGATTCTCTGCAGCTGTCTGTCCAAGTAATACAGAAACTCTTCTGACAGTTTTAAAATGGGACACCCTTAAAGTACTTTTAGCTCTCCCTCTTAACAAAGGCATCATGCTTAATCATAAAAACTATGGAAATATCGTAAGTTATGAAGCTCTTGCCAAAAATGTAAAATCAGACCAACAAAAGAAAGATCAAAACTCTTTCTTTGTAAATGCTCAGTAGCGCAGGTATGGCTCCAGGATCCAGATCTTTGAAACTACCTCTTCAAATATCCCCTATTTTCCACCTTTGTGAAAGCAGCTCTCAAGACTCTGGCGTGGTTAAGAGAGCTGAGTTGAAGTCTGGTATCAAAATAACAGAAAGACTCAGCTCCAAATCGGAGCAGCTAACGGCCATTTAAAATTCCACCAAAACCAGCATTTAGACTGCTCCATATCAGCTTTCAGGGACATCATAGCAGAAATTGCCCAGATTAGAATTAAAAGGAGATTTGTGTCCTCACTTCTGAACTATGCTTGGAATTCCCTGGATTCATTTTTTTCCCAAATGAAATTATCATGAAAAATAATGTAGCAATATTGGAATATAATGCCTGAGATACCAAAGATGCTCAGAATCTCTGATATTCAATTAATGCGGCATCGACCGCACAGTAAAAAGGAACTCAGCCAATAAATCTTTTCAGAAGCAAGAGAGCACATCTTGATTTGCTACTATTTCCAGGTCAGCATTATTTGCTTCTCGTGTCTCGCATTATGGAAGTATTTCCTAAGACTAGAAGCGTCACCAGTTTTATTATAGGTGCTCGTGTGTCTGTAAACATACACAGTGCCATTTATGGTATTCTGTTTCAAATGCTTCAGTCATATAACCAGAAATTGGAATCAGCTGAAGGAACAGTGTTCATTACAGAAAATCTGAGCAACTGTCCCAACAACCAAGGCTCGGTCTTTCGTCATTTGCATTCAGCCACATCAGAACCTGACCCACAAACTCATGTTTTCACTGCACAAATTTGGCATGTAGAGCCTGTAGTTGCACCTCCCATACTTCTCAGTACTGAAATTCCCTTTCGGTCAGCTCTGCTAACTTGGGAACTTCTCTAACCTAAATTGTTGGGAGGGCACTGAAGAACGATCAGCACTTAAGTGATCTTCCTTGAACCCCCAAAGCAAAGCAGGAAGGTTCCCATCCAAACAAAAGCTCATACTGTGCTTTAACACAGACCGATACCTAAAGCTGGATATTGGCCGTAACATTGATGCAAGACTTTCACAGACTGTGAAGTGGACACCACAGCATAGACAGTGGTGATGGAGTGAGGGACCACAATCCCTTGTCCCTTCTGTATCACTCATCTTATTTCAATTCCTTGAAATACAAGCAAGTGTGGATAGCTCCACAGAACAAAAAGGAAGCCGTCTGGAAGTCGTATGGATGCTACTTACCTTTGTCACATAGGGGAAAGGCAGCAATTGCTAGAATGTATCAAATTACAGTTTTACCTTTCCATTTGCCCAGAGGTAGGAAGCCCAATGATCCCCTTCACAGGTCAGTAGGAATGAAGAGGGCTGGAATGCAATACAGACTCTGCTCATTCCCACCAATTCTAGTAAATGTAACTTCCAAGCTTTTCTTCTTTAACCCCAAGCCTAGATAGACCACAGACCCATTTTTTAAAGCTCCAACAGTTTTAAAACCCCCTTAAGACATGCTTAACCCAGAGGACATGAAACAGGCTGTCATCTGTGAAAGCCAAGTCTCTAGTACCTTAGTTTTATGTGACCGAATCACAGTGTACTGACTGGTAGCGCTCTCCTGGTGTCAAAGGTGGCACAGGAGCTCTCAATTCTTATCGCAGAGACAGACACAGAAAAAGAATGACGCAAAACATCTCGGTACCAGATGAGCTTTCCACTATTGGGATTTCTGTGCACCAAGTTACAGTGCTCCATTACACTGCAGAAAGTTTTATCAGTGGGATGGATGACTATGTTTGTGCAAGTTCAGGTCATGGACACCACGAAAGCTTGTGTTAACCTCTGAGGGACGAGTGCAGCAGTGAGGGACAGTGGTTGGACAGCAAAACTGACTCACTGCGGGATGTTATCTTATGGAAACCACTGCCTGCTGTACGCTTAAGCTATTCCCCTTTGCAAGCTTGCCAACTGGCAGACAGCACTGTTGGCACACAGATCCCCCAGAATCGAGTCCAAAAAGGATACAAAAATATTCGCGTACACACGTACATTGACAGCCTAGACTGCCCCATCTCCTCTTATTTCTAACCACAGGGAACCGACAGGTTGCTACTACTTTAACCAAGATCCCAGTCTGACCAAAGAGGGCCATAATCAGGTAGATCTCTAGATGGTATCACAGCCAAGACCATCTCTCAGAGCACCTCCCAAAATACCACTGACCCCTGGCAAAAGAGGAACCCCGTGTACTTAAACATTATCCCGTGCCAACGCAGTCTGGCAACACCCGTGAAGCATCCCTACATGCTTGCCCTTGGCCCTCCCTCCTGTCGTCTCCCTGGCCGCTTACTTGGCTCCGGCCAGCGACCGTTCGCTTGGCATGACCGGAGAAGGCGCTGTCGGCCGAGCCTTGCGCCGGCGAGCCGGGCCCCACGACCTGGGGGCTCTCTGCCGCCTCGTTCACCCACTCCTGCGACAGCCCCGCCGACTTGCCCAGGGCCTCCACCTGCCGAGACAGGCGCTCCAGCTGTACCCGGAGGCGCCGGTTCTCCTGCTGCAGCTCAGAGACAGCGTGTGCCAGGGGGCTGGCGAGGCGCAGCACCTCCTCCACCTGCCGGCCTACTCCTTGCTTGAACAGCTGGATGTCCACATGTATCTCCCGGACGGCGCCCCGCAGCGTGTCCTCGTAGCGTTCCAGGCCGTCGCAGACAGTCTGCGCCTCTCGACTGTTCAAATGCTCGCTCTCGCCGGCCATGGTGTCCGCGCACCGCAGGCTGCGCGGGCAGGGACGCAGGAAGGTCGGGAGCGGCTATCGGCAGACGCCGGATCGTCTCCCTCTTCGCCGTCGCCTCTCCACCTCTTAGAGACCTCCCCGTGCCTCCCGGCGGCCCCTAGCCCAGCCCTAAGCCCGGCCCCCGGCGCCGCCGGGCACGGCCCGTTCTGCTGGGACGCGGGGGCTCGGCGGGGCGCGCCCCGGGCAGCCGCCGCACAGAAGCGGCGCGGATGGTGCGGATCCTGCGGCTGTCCGGTGTGCTCCGCTCAGCGTGCACTCCTTCAAAGGGGGAGATGGAATTTCGGGAGGGAATGGTAGAACAAGCAGGGGGAAGGGGCGGGGCCACGAGATTGTTCTCAGCTGCCCGAGGCCTTTAGCCCGCGATGGGCTGCGGGCGGGGCCGCGGGAGCGAGACGGCTCGAATCGGGCGGCAGCGCTGGTGTGGAGCAAGGAAGAAGCGGGAGATGTGGGTCGGGAAGGAATCGGAGAGAGACAGAACGAGGGGAGGAGGGGTTTGTACCAGGTCTTTCCCGGCTTGCTTGGACGATGACGATGTGAAAGTATGCACAGTCTCTTTAGCGGGGAACACGGAGACGAGGGGAGGAGAGAACGGTCTTTGAGGGCATAGAGACGGAAATGCACGCAAAAGCACCCTTAGACAAACTGCCAAGTTTCTGCGCTTTCATGGGCAGAAACTTGTAACCAGCATGTTCACACTTACACGTTTCCCACAGTAGGCTGCAATTCCATGGCCATTAGTATTGAGCTGTCAAGTCGTCCAGCAGATCCAATCTGGGTGCACGGTGGATGCGACACATTTCTGTCCAGCTAACCAGAGCCACCATGCACAACCCTTTCAGGCATATTCTTTACTGCAGCACAAGACAAAAAAACCCCACAGAAAAGGGGAATCTGAGAAATATTTTAGGCAAATTTGCATCATCAGGTAGCCTATACATGACAGCACTTTATGTCAGGTGGCTACAACTTCTTTGGTACCATTTAACAATTGTCAATAGTAGCCTACTTGCAGCAGCAAGTAGCTAAGCCTGTAAATCTGGAATGTGCAGGGAAAGTTGGCATTCTGCGCCAGTCGGTATATGTAAAACTCTAAAACAATAATAAGAGAAAACAGAAATCAATTACCATTAGCTCGCAGGCAATTTCTTAACATATGCAAAAATCGAAAAACAATATGTGTGTGTTTGTGGTTATTACTGTTGACAGCTCATAGCTATTAGCTAATGGTACTAATAGTGTAATTCTTTGGAAAATACTCTTCTCTAGTAAATATTTCCAATTTTGACAATTTTTTTAATTGCTAAAGAAAATTTCTACTTTTTCACAGAACAGCTATCTAGTAGACATTTTAGTTTTCTGACAAAAGGTGTTTTGAAAGAAAATTTCCAACCTATTCTCAGCTAGGTCTAGCAGAGCTAAGCAAATAAAATTGTTTGGCTGTTTACAGAGACTCAGCAACCATAGAGTAATTGCAAACTGCCAGTGTTCTTAAAACTTCCTCTCATTCATGCTTTTAGAGCAATTTACAGTACAGGTGAGTGTACCAATAGTTAACGTACATCCTAATTTCACAGAAAAATTAAGTACAACTTTCTGTCTGTCTCTCTGTCCAGTTGCAAAAAAGGAATTAGCTTTATATGTCAACAGTCTGAAACCACACCCCCCTTTCTGTTCCCTTTTGAAATCTTCTCCTTTGGACCTTTTGCAGGTGGACAGAGCATGGGAATATGTCACTCTCCAAAAGCCTCTCAAAGCAGTTATTGGATGTAAATAGCACAGGTGAAGCCCAAAACAGTGATTCAAAGATGGAAAGATAATTCTCAGTTTCTCAGAGCTTAAACTGAGAGATTTGGAATATTTTGATGCCCAAATGACACTAGATTCTCTGTCTCAATATCTGATGGTTTTTCTTCTTCTGCAAAACTCTATTGGAAAATAGGATTTCTTTTGAAGTACAGGCAGTCAAGGGCCTCTTTTCAGGTCTGAGCCACAAACCAAAGACCAGGATCAATGGGTGCATTTCTGTTCATGGTGTTTCAATAGTTCCCTAAGCACCTGTGGTTATCACTTTTTAGAATCAATCTGGAGTGCTAGAAAAAAACTGAAAACTATCCTAGAACAGCAGCAACGTGTAATTTCATCAAAACAAACTCTGTTTCCTTCCCTACATGTCTTCAAAGACAAATGCACGTATAATGTAGGTGGGTGTACCCATGTGCATTCAGAAGCCAAACCATGAGCTGGGAAGTCTTCACCTGATAAGTTCTTTCTAGACTTGTGTTAAAAGCGTACTCATTTCAGACCATAGGAAAACACAACCTACTGAAATGTACTAATCTAAAAGCTAAGCAATCCAGTGGTAGTTATGCAACAAGGATTTAAAGAGGTGTCTTAGACATAAGATTTTGGATAGTTTAAATATCAAAAGCCCATTCTGAAATTGGGTCAGTTGAGTGCATGGGTACAATCACTGCTCAGATGAAATTTCACAGCCTGTCTACATGTGAAACAACAGTTTTTTAGGGGATACAAGCCTCATAACGTCACCCTAGGACACTGAGGAAGGACAAACCTTCTAAATATAAAACATGAGTTACGTTCTTAGTCACTTATCTCAGTCATTAGTTCTAATTTGCAAAGCTTACTGAAAACAGCCAAAGATAACAATCACTCCAAGCAGGCTAACAGCCAAGAAGCCTCAGTTGTTTCTTATAACTGACAGGCAGCTTCTCACTTGTACCAGGAATTATTGTAACATTGAAATCACGGTGGCAGAAGGTATCAGAGCATATGCATGAGGCACGTATTCACAGACCTACATGCAGTCGCACGCACCCAAAGGCAGCAATAGGAGCAGCCATTCCCTGACTTGTGGAAGGTAGGCAGCTCCTTTGGCCGTGTTCGCTCACCACAAGAAGGACTAACAGTCTCCGTTACACCTAAGGATGCCAAGCCCTGTAAAGGGTAACATGTAAGAGACAACAGTCGCTGCCATGGCTGCAAACTTTGTTTTCTCAATACTGATCTCGGGTATCTGAGACCTGGTCATCCTCTCCTTAGCAATCACTGGGCGATCATGTGTCTGACAGCGTTCCACGGGCAGTTCCAATTCTTTCCAGATCAGAGTTCTAGCTTTTCACGGCATAAAGCAACCTGATACTCTGGGCTAGCTCCAGCTTACACAAGACTGCCAGCCAAGGGGAAGGCCTCAGCAAGAGGACATTTTTTGTCAGCACCTGTCTAAAAGCGCTCTATTACAGAAGAAGTGGAAAAATTCTACAGTTACTTCACAGAAACAGTTCCTTATTCACATCTCCTCCTTAGCACCTGCTTCAGCAAGCACAGCATCTTACAATGGGGCTTATTATTTATTTTCCAGAGCACTCAGCTCACCCCATGTGATAAGAGGTAACACCACTTGAAATTCTGAGACCAGGACAGAGGTGGGTAAAAATGAGAAGCAACCGCAAGACTTACGCGTATCTGCTGCGCTGTGGGAGTGATTCGGGCTGAGCGTCTCACAAGCAAGTCTTTTATTAGGAGAATGAAAACCTGCTATTGCATTAATTCATCATTGGGTTTTGCATTTGAAAGGAGTAGGATTGCCCAACACTATGGGAAGGCAACAGCGCCCTAGTATTGTCCAGCTGGGGTGCTGCTGCATGCTTTCATGGCTGCGGTACTTCCCCTGTGGAGTTGCCAAAAGACATACAAAACTCCAGCTAAAATGTCCCCAAATCAGCTAATTACAGTCTTCATTCTAAGAAACACCTTTACTGAGCATCTGGAGATTTTCAGGAATATCAAAAGATCAGTAGCAGGCTGTTTTTGCTCATTCCTCCAGTGTAATCTTCTGCTAGGTACTCCACTATCTCACTTTGCATTATGTTATGGAATTCATCAGTGATATTTGACCATTTATCAGGCCAGGGCTTGGTAATCGCTTTCCTGTCTGATAATGCTGATTGATGAGCTCCTCAACCACCCTTCCTAAAGCCTCCAACACATTCCTGTGTACCATGTAAAATTCCCACAGTTCGGATAGAGGCCTGACTGGTACGTATGTTTGTCTCTTTTCCTGACTGGGATTCACTTTTTTCTGGATGCTCTGGTCTTCCAACTTCTTATTCTTCTCGGCTTGCTGCAATCTTTCTTGATCTACAGGAAACTGATCCCGTTATGCCTCCTTTTAGGAGGGAGACCCCAAGTGTTAAATCACGCTTACATTCTGTCTCAAATCTGTACAAAATTGATACTGCACCAGAGACCAGTCAGCTTCCTTCCTTCAACAGGAGAGCTTTAGCCCTTTGCTGCTGCTGTGGCCTTTTGGCCTGTAACACAGCCAATGTTCATTGTGTCGCTGACTGTACTTAGCAATTGACAGTAGAGTCAGACATTTGCCAAGGCCAGCCATGTAATTATCACAGTACGGTTTCTAAAGGGCTGAGAAAGACTTCTACTGCAGATAGAACCCAGACCTTGCATTAAGCTCAATGGAAGGAATGATCTGAAGCTCCTACTTGAGGTAAATATGCACATGCTATGCTGGTAATTTAAAAGTTACCAGGGCAACTTCCAGTCTCAGCTAGATAATCACTAATGTGAAATTATTCTTTGAATTCCTGAAGTCACCTGATATTTACTGTTATCTCTCTAAAATCGGAACGCAGGCTTTGGTCTTGATTTTGAGGGTTGCCCATACCAAGTACTGGATTTTTTCCTCCCTTACATGCCAAAAAATGGGCAACAAAGGTAGGCGATATATCTAGGCTTAGAAGAGCATCACAAAAAGAAGCAGAGGAAAACACTTGTTTTTTGCTTCATGAAAAATATTTTACCGCAACTATTATTCATTATCAGAGCAATGAACACAGAGATGTGGACAGTGGCAGTGGTGTGTTCACCAATGACCTTGCTTCGACTGTTTTAATATAGAGCCAAACTCATAACTGATTTCTCAGATACATATGCTTCT